ATTCTCCAGATCATTCAGGAAACAGAACTCGGCCGCATCAAACCACATTTCTGGCAAAAACCTCAGGGCCATGAGAGCTTGTTTGTAGACATAAACAACGCGGCCCTTGAAAGCAGCAGGATCCTCTTCTTTCAACACAAGTGGATCTCCCTTTTCCCACTTGATCCAACGCTTCCAAATATCAACCTGTTGAGTGAATTCAATATCACCATCAGAACCCGGCACAGGGGGCAATCTAGGCAACGTTGTGCGGATTAGATCCCTCGTGATATTTTGCAGCTCTGTATATGAGCTACGAGCGGTCATATACGCTGGTGACTGCTCTTGAAGGAATTTACGACCCTATAATGGCGGGGAAGATATTAGAACGTGCAGAACCTTCGAAGAATCGCTCGAACTTACTGTAAGCTTATTCAGGCCCATCTCGAACTGATCATACTCTTTCCAGAGAGTATTGACAGCTTGAGTTGGAACGCAAATGGCTTTCTGATATGCCTTTCGTAATAGGTCCATCTTCTGCTGGTCTTGCCAACCAGACCCACCGACGTTGCCTGGCCCCGACTTAATGAACTGAACGTAGTCCGACCAGATTGAACCCGAATCTTTGTCTACACCGACGTGCTGAAACGCCAACTCATAAGCAGATGAGATAATCCTCCTCGCTTGTCCAGTTGTGTCCGTTGTCAAGGGATTGCGCCTGCGGACGTAATCCAGGTATACCGACCACAGCTGGACGTCAGGGATGGTTAGAAGGGTTCGATTGAAGATTTGCTCAAGCCGATAAAGATCATTGAGTTCGGACTCCATCTTCGCATACGCCACCCATTGTTCGGCCTGAGATCGGTCAGCTTTTTCTCATTGATGCTGAGGTGACTTGAGCGTACTCACAGCAAAAGGGAAAACCTTCAAAAACCGCTCATAGACATCACGCGCGCTATCAATTCTATTGCGGCTTCTGTGTTCATTGATCAATTCGAGCCAGGCAGGAATGTCGCCACGAGGATCCTCTTGAATTCGGTCTTCCAAGATGCCGACTCGATCGTGAGGCAAGCGACCTTTCGAGGCCGAAGGAGAATCTGGCGTAGGAGTAGCCACCGCGCTGTCTTGCACGTTTCCGGGCTGTAAAGCATGTGAGTTGTACAAACTCTGTCCAGCGGCAACAGCCACATCACTTTTAGGGCCAACAGCAGGAGCAGGAGAGTAAGAGCTATGGGAAACATTGTTCAGGCTGGCGGACTGTTGCGCAGCATCATCCAGGGATACATCAGGGGTAGAAGAAGCTTCATTTTCATTTCCTGAGACGGACTGCTGAGGCACATTTGTAGCAACAGTATTCATGTCCTCAACACCAAGTACAGCAGGGGGCTCATAATCAGCATCACCCGCATCGTCCTCGTCTTCATCTTCAACCACGAATCCTCCGATTGTCCTGGGCTTCGGCTGCACAGATGTACCGGACATTGGTACCGTAGTGGAAGCCCGAGACTCATCTCGTGAGGGTGTCTGAGAAGGATAGGAAGTACCATCGTGTTGACTAGGATCATCATCTGGTGGAGCAGAATTTTGCTCAGTAGGGTTTGGCTCTGGAGAGGCACTGGAAGAAACGTTTTCACTTTGCTTGAGATCTGTCAAGGAGGAAGAATATTGGTCTTGGAGTGTTTTTGAAGGATCATAATCATCTGAATCTGAACTATCTGCACCATGATCTTCAACAGCTTTATAGTCCACAGATTCCGCATTCATAGCCTGAGCCTGGAAAAAGGCTTTCTCAGCATCTTCTTCAGCCATGACAGGTTACGAAGATCTCAAACGCGACAAGACAAAATGGCTGCAAACGAATGGCCTGGTCAAGCAGCATGCGATCAGTAAGTTGAACCAGAAGATCTGCGGCAGTCGCTCACCAACATTAAATGAGGAAAATTTGAAGTAATTGACCAGGAAGAATTCAAGGACAACACCTGAAAATGCAAATGAGAGAGATCAGCGTCTGCTGACAAAAAAGGAACCGAAATGTGCAGGACAAAGAAACTCCCACATGGGGCTGCTAGAGGTGGCTGTCGCACTGAGCTGTTAGCAAAAGCTGCAGATGTCATTGCGGTAGAGTCACGTGATATAGGCGGTGAGGCGCGACAGAGATGAGGGACGCGAGTGCAGCGCGTCAGGGTAATTACTTACTTCTTTCGGTTGGGAGTTGCGACTTGCATGATTTATCACCCCTCGATGGAAACTGTGTTTATCATTTCTTCCCGACTTCTCCTTGTTGAATAGTTTTCACTTTTTGTACACCCATCGGCTCGTGCGTTTTCCATATCTCGTTCTCTCAGGGGCCCATTATCCTCAACGAAAAAGTTTCCCGTCCTCATCTAACACTATCAAATATCAATCACCATGTCCGTCGTCTCCCTTCTCGGGGTCAAGATTGTTAACAATCCCGCCCCTTTCCTTGCTCCATATCAATTCGAGATCACCTTTGAGTGCCTCGAACAGCTTCAGAAAGGTGACATACACAAGATCTTGTTTACGGCTAGGTTCAGATTCACTAACAACTGAGTTTGCAGATTTGGAATGGAAACTCACTTACGTCGGCTCTGCCACGTCGTAAGTCAAGACCGCCGGGATACAAATGCGGGATTGCTGTTGCTGACCTAAGTAGTTCTGAGTATGACCAGGAACTCGACTCTCTTCTTGTCGGACCCATCCCCGTTGGTGTCAACAAGTTCCTTTTCGAAGCCGACGCTCCGGACCTGAAGCGAATCCCTACTTCAGAAATTCTCGGTGTCACAGTGATCCTTCTCACTTGTAGCTATGATGGCAGAGAATTTGTCCGTGTTGGATACTACGTGAACAACGAATACGACTCGGAAGAGCTCACCCAGGACCCTCCCGCCAAGCCGATTATTGAACGAATCCGCCGAAATATCCTTGCTGAGAAGCCGAGAGTGACCAGGTTCGCTATCAAGTGGTAAGGCATTCACCTCCTTAAGTGCAACGACCTTAACTTACTCCTTCAATTTCAGGGATTCTGAGGAGGATGCTCCAGCCGAATACCCACCTGACCAACCGGAAGCGGATCTGGAAGACGATGGCGCTGCTTACGGCGCTGAAGAGGCCGAACTCGAGGCTGCGCTGGTCAGAGAACTCGAAGAGGCTGAAAGAGATGCCACCAAGGGCGGTGATCATGAGATGGAAGGGGCGGAGGAAACTGCTGGCAAGGATGACGAGGAAGAAGACATTTCCGACGCGGAGAGTGAAGATATTGAGGATGAAAGTGACGATGAAGAGGACGACCTTGACGAGGAAGAGGGTGGGGATCGTGATGAAGACGTAGAAATGGGCGATGACACCGAATCGAAAGATACCAACGCCGCCAGCGGGCATCATCAACAGCAGGACATCATGGTGCACTAAATACCTCGCAGTTTACCGCTCATCTTTTGGAATATCCTCACTTTGCATGATTTTACGATTGTGTTACAACGCTTACGACGACCGAAGCTATTCGCCTGGGCCATGTTCTCCAATTTTGCAGCATTTATTTACATGATATAGAAACCGCATAATATGAGAAAACCTATCACACCGCATCTTTCTTAATTCAAATATCGTACTCAAGCAAGGACCAAGCCAGGGATATGCATGTTCACCGTTTATAGTTATACATCCCTTTCTGCTATGGACTTAATTTCCACTTGGATTGCTGTGGCCCTGGCGACACTTCTGTCCCCACAGCAACTTCGTATGCAAGGTATTCGCTCTCGATGGTTGGCCGTTGTCCGGATGCTGAGTTGGGCGATAGCACTGTGCCAATCCTCTTTGCACCAATCTCGAAAAGCAGACCATCTCAAGCAATGGTATTCACCTTTTAGTCTGTGTACAGTGAAGCGGACTGCACTGTGAACAATCCACTTCCCAGCTTTGACCCTAGTCAAAGAGGTAAATCAGTCACCAAACTCACTCATCAACCTCCCTTGCTGCTGAACGAGAAAGCAACAAGGTCAGCATTGTCGTCTAGACCTATAGCAGTCACTTCACCTCAATCGTCACCGTCCAATGGGAGAGATCAAAGATTTGCAATGCGTTGCTTGAATAGCTTCAATATCTGTCTCAAAGTATAATGAAATTGCGGCTTAGTGGTATCTCCAGTTCAGCCTTCTTTGTAGAAAGAATATATAAATAACCCATTGCATCCTTCTATGGTTCACTTCTGTAGAATAGCACCACATTGCTCTCTGCCTATTGATCTCGACGATCACACCAGGATAACTGCCTACAGATACAGATACTTCACGGCTGAGTATACTACCCAGGGAGAAACGCTACGCCCCAGAGCAATACAGAATTCCATCCAGACTTGAGGAAGAGCTGAGACTACAGCTCCCGATAGCCCCGCAAAGCAAACCTACAATGCCCCAATTCTCCTGCAAGCATCGGAGTAGCAAATCGCCCGAAGACCTTACTTCAAAGGATGGGACCTTCGCCTGCCTCTGCCGACACTGCCACCTGACAGCAGACAAGCACCGGTCGAGAAAACTGCACCGGGCGTTGATGGTGCAGCTTGGCGAGCTAAATACGATGATCGATCTCGTGCAGAATAATAGACTGGATCCTGCGACGATCACGCTGGAACTGCATCGCTTGCATGCTCAGAGGAAGGAAGCCAAGGATAAATACAGATTGGATTTGGTGGCGCTGTGGAAGGAATATGAGAAGAGGTGGCGGATTAGGTATATTCCCCACGAATATTGGATCTAGGGAGCGGCACATTGGCTTCATGCGGTTGATACGTGGGTCAATATTGGATCTTTTTAAAGATCTATTGTCCTAGTATTGTGATGGAGGCCCTGAATTTCGCTCATCCAATATCTAAAAGGCATAAGTTGAGCTTACTTGTGTAGTGTGGTCATAGACCGAACAAACGCCGTAAATTGGGTATTTAGAGGTAAGAAAAACAAAGTGTGTATAAAAGTGCCGAAACTGTTCTACTTCATGAGAGCATAACATCACAAGCCAAATTTCGACCCCAGTGCTAGTTCATCAGTTAGCAGGCTCGCGCAATGCCTAAGGCTACCAAAACTTACCGCCGAGAATCGCCTTTTTCTTCTGGTTCTGTACGTATTTATTGACGTCCCGGGCCCAGTTGCTGCTGTTTTCTTCCAGCCGATCCATACTTTCACCAGCAATGCCTAGTCGCTCCGTCCGTTCTTGGACTTGCCGGGTCATGTAAGACCAATAGCCCTCTTGACTTCCTGTCGATGCCTGTGATAGATTGGATCCAGTTCTCCCTTCTCGTGCGAGTCGGCGCCGCTCTTGGTCTTCGAGTCGCATCTGTTCCTGCATTCGTTTTGATGGAGGCCGGTCTGGGCCCCCGACTGTAGTGGCGAAAATGTCAGTACAGCTATCCAAATTTGTTATCGCTGCTGCAATGGATGCACATACTCAGAAGATCCATGTCGGCTGGGGACACATATTGTGTGCCGGAGATCCATTGCAGATTCGTAATTGTAGGTCGTGCAGGAATGGTTGCCTGTGGGTTGAAGAGTCGACTGTCTGATGGTCGTCTATCATAATTGTCAGCAAGGCATTCTTTCCTGTTGAACAAACACATGATCGAGGGACGGAGGTCCATACAGTCCGGTACCAGAGCCCCAAACATTGAACACGGCGACTTCTGAGGGACCCGTCCAGGTCAGAACACTACCGTTAGCGCAGACTGTTGAGTCCGAGAGGCGTCTCATGTCGGCAATTTGACCGATACTAGTGCAGCCTATTTCCTTGAGACCCGGGATGGAGAAAGCCCTAGCGTTACCATCGCCAAAAAGCCCAACAAGACTATAACCACGGCCTTCTGTCTTCACGAGGGCTGCGGCATCGCAGAGATAATCATCCCAGGACTTGTGAGCGCCCTTGGACGTTGCAGGTTTAAAAATCCTGCAACCGGAAACAGTGACAGCAATGACGACACCGTTAACTTTAGCGCCAGTTCGGAGGCCCGCAACCATGCTTGCTGTAGCTAGAGCCGGCGTACCCTGATCCGCATCAATGGGTATGATGTTCAAAACCTTGTCATCGAGCTGAGTTACGCCGGCGAATTGGCCCATGTAAGTTCCATCATTTCCGGGCAGGATCTTGAAGGTGGCCAAGTTGCCTCTGTTGGTGCCTACAAAGCAGCAGATACTTGAATAGTCTATAGAGGGTCAGTATCCGCATGTCCCCATAGCTCAAGACGACAGATCTTACCTTCACCCTCCAAAGTCAACACACCAAACTCGATGCTTGTGGGCCACTCCGGAGCAGTGCTTTCAGCAGCGCGATGTTTGAGGAAACTTCCACGTTTGCTGGTCTTCGCAAAGTCGGATACCTGGGCTGTATGAATGACTGCTGGCCCGCGCAAGTCCATGATGACAAAATTGCCGTTTTGAAAACCGGCAGCAACGAAGCCCACATGGCTATGCTTCACAGCAGTCACGGGCCCCTGTTGCATATTCAGAAGAGTGAGCGGAAGCATGCCTTGTTTCAGCCCGGGATCGGCTCGGTGGGTGATCCGAGTTAACTTTCCGGCTCCTTCATTTGTGCCTGGAGGCTCCTCATGGCCAAAATTTCCATTATTACCCCATCTAAACACCACAACCTCGCCGCTCTTCAAGCCAACTGAGAGTTCGCCTGTAGACCCGCTGACAGACATTTCAGTGACTTCCACATTAGCGACACGCCCAACAGCGCGGGCCAAATCTACTTGGATGACATCCGCGTTTTCAATCTCGTCATCATGGCCTACATCCCAGAGACGTATGGTTCCATCCGCGTGAGCCGTGGTAATGATGTTACGATTCTCGAACCTTTTCAGCGCCCTTTTGCCTTCTGCACCGCCGATCAAGAATTTCGGGCCTTGCGATCTCCGTTCCCGAAGGCCCAGCCAGGCGGAACGATCAATAGGCGTCATCGTGATTTTGGTGACAAAAGGGTGGACAAAAGAGAGGAAGGGATGAATCATGTTCGTGGGCGTGATGGAATGACCACTGGGGAAACTCAGAGTGATAAGTTCTCCCGAGGAAAGGAGCGCAATCACAGCGATGGGGTCATGGGCCCCAGCATAGAATGGCGAGGAGCGGGGAATAAGGCAAAAGTCGACGACCTCTGCACTAGGAGGTGCTGGAATATTCTGAACTTGTTTTGGATTTTCGAAATAATTGGTGATCATTGGCCATGTTGACGTCTGATAGTTTGGAGTTGCTCCAAAGTCTATGAAGGTCAAACCCTTGTTACTCTCAGCCTTAGGCCGACCACCCGCAATAAGAAGGCCGCTGTCCTCTCCGTTAGCTTTGACACACCATGCAACTTGGGTAATAGGCTCTCTGAAGATGGCTTCAGCCGTTGAAAACCGTCGGTTTGGGCTGGCGCCAGGTTCGTCGATATGTGTATTCTCCATCGTCCGGGAGAGGATCTTGCGGCCATCCTTCGAATCCCAAAACACCAGACTGTTGTCTTCGTGAACAGTCAGAACAAAGATACCGTTAGGATGCCAGAGCGCTCTGGTCAGTTTGGGTCTGCGAGTGTCCTGGGAGGGTATCTCAGAATTGCCCCCGACGGCACCAGGAGGTACTTCATATTGGAAGTACTTCTGAGCGACGTTCTGTTTGAAGGTGAAGGTGACGGCTCCTTCGGGATATCCAACCAAAATCTTGCCAATATCCCGGGGTGAAAAGGCCAGAGAAAGGACCGGGCACAGTCGCGCCCGGGGATTGCGCTCAGCCCAGAGATTAGGTACTCTAAACGGTGTCAAGGACTCCCGGTCCAGATCGTAGGCAATAATGTCCCCTGGAAAGAGCGCTTAGCACAATGATTCATAAGAAATGACTTATGTCCACATACCATTCTGTAGACCAATGAAGGCATAGTCCAGACTAGGGTCTGTCAATAGGGCGGTGGCATGGCTCGGGGGGGCATAGGAAACCAGCGCTTTCTGGATCTCAAGTGAGAAAATAGTAATTTCGCTCTTCGAGTCGACGCTGATCAACTTGTCGGCGCAGAACTGGAGATATTTGGCAGATGCCTTCCGCGGCAACGAAAAAACGGCGGAAACCCTGCGCTGTCCAAACACATAGATCTGCCCACTGCCGAACTGGGTGTCGCTGGTACCTACGGCCAGGAGAGACTGAACGGGATCGTACGCAAGCACACTTATTTGCGAGTTTACACCACACCGAGCGTACTGCAAGTAGAATTGAGGTCAACAGGAGAGCTCAAACGGGGAAAATATCGGTGCCTAGGGCAGCCAAGACATACATCATCGAGGGCGAAGAGGTCTGGTGAGAGACCATCGGAGAAATCTTTCTGTATTCCTGTTTGCTTCCCCCGTAGAAAGTGTGCCATCTTGAAAGAGTCAAGGGCTCTGCGCACGAATGCAAGAATAGTGCAGAGAAAGGAGAGAAACAATGACCAAGGAGCATGAGCTATCCAGAAGATGATGATGCCCTCCAAAGGGTGCGGAGTGGACGCGCCCCACCGAGGAGAGAGACCGCCCAATTGGGGATAGCGCAGTTTCTACCGCGGAATTTCTGTTTTCACCTGACGACATCATCTTTCTTTATTTGTTGACTGCTGCTGCCCCGCTCTTGGCTGTTATCACAGGCAGACAACAGCCTTAGAAAAGGTGAGTAAGCATCAAATGGAGCAAGAAGTTATCATGGCGAGTCCAGCGCCTGTATACGCTGCTTGTTATAAAAAAGGACTTTCCAATTGAAGGAGCAAAACCACCATAGCCATCTGTATAACATCATGAACTATGAAATGGGTTAATATAAAATGAAGTACTCGGTGTATTGTCCTTAGTCATCCACCGCTAGAGCAGTACTGGTATTCAAGTAAATCATATGCCTAAATTCTATGTACATGGTATGACGGGAAGATATAAGTTCAAGGCACAGAGAGGTACCTGTTGTCTAAAGCTGCAGTCTGTATTTAAGATGGTGATAACATAGCATATAGTCTGATGTGAGTCCGTTTCGCGCAATTGCGGGCGACTAAACATCCACACGAGTCTCGACGACCTCAATTGCAGCCATTTTTGTTAATATTCTGGTTAACCGTCTTCGTGCTTCGGTTTCGGCTGCCGAGTTCCTCTCCCGATAGTATTGAATGGTGATGTTGTGAATCGAACGGTAACATGCATATCTAGAAGATGACCATTAACATTTCCTCGTCTTCAACAAGAAGGACGGGGGTTTCTTACAGTAATTGACGGATCAAGTCCGGCTCACAGTCAATGTCACGCGATGCAAATCCATCCAGCACGGCGGGCGACGGGTCTTCAAAGATCTCCCCCATGTAGACGTCGCCCCAGAGAGCGCTGTCAAACCCTGTAATCCCCGCCAACTGTTTCGAAACAGGGTCCAGCAGCACGGCTGAGGGCCGACCAAAGTCGCATATCACCAGCCGTGGTAATGTGATCTCGTCTAAGACCGGAGACAGTCGACCGACCTGATGCCGAATCTCTGCGTAGGGAAGATGGACAAAGACATCTTCCGAGTCCCGAAGGATGCTTTCGAAGTGTACAAGGAAGGCTTCTCGCCACGACCTTGTCCCTGATCCCAAAGCAACCTGTTCCAGAGTCCCGAACGAGTTAGCGGTGTGTTGACCGATCATGTTCACGAGACGCCCCAATTGCCGGTCGAGCTCTCGGCGATCTTCAGCGGTAAGTCGACTTTCCAATTCCTGTAAGGTTGAGCCGTGAATATATTGACGCACGAGAAAGGCGAACCCTAGTAGGGTATCCTGCGGGTCGTAATAGAGAAGCGAGGGAACGCATGGAACTGCACTTTGTCTTAGTAGACGAAGTACACGTGCTTCTGTTCCAAGCAGGAATCGTTCTCGCCGAAGCAAACGCGTGGTTGGCCTTGGTGAGGTTTTCAAAAGTATTCGGGCCCCATTCGATAATGTTATTAGGCGGTGGGAATGTAGATGGCCCTCCAAACATTGAACATTTCTCACGTACACCGTAGAGGGTAGAATATGCCCAAGGACGACGCTGAGCTTGTTAGGGACTTCCAATCCGATGAGTGCCAAATCTCGGACCTGAGACATAGTTGACGATTTTGGTTCTATTGAGCATGAATAAGACACTGGTGTCTTTTTAAACTTGCTTGCCACATTCTGAGTTCAAAGGGACCAAGATGACCGGACGAATATTGTCTCAAGATGACAGCTATAGGAAAAAAGGTGCAAAACACAAGTGTCCAGGGAACACCTCAATGACTCTAGGGTACAGAGCGTGCAGATCTTCCATGACAAATCATCATTGGTTCAATCGTGGCTCAGGCAATGCTACCAAAGCATCGAGGTCATGTTGAAACGGCACCCAAGGCATGGTGGTTGGATGATTCACTGTGTTCCCGCTTCCACGTAACGGCAATATTACCTGAATAACAAATCATAATTGTATGCCGTCAGGAGTCCATGGAGCAATGTCCGAAAAGGGTGCGCTGTAGACGAGAGATGAAGCAACGACCCTGACCCGCAGGCATCAACCGAATTCCAGAGCCGGGAACGTAGCGACATGGCGCCTTATCTGGACAAAGATGGACGTTCAAGCCGTATGATAATACGTTGGCTGTAAAGAGCGATGGGTCCTGGATGGGACGAACCAGGGGGCCTTTTCAGAGCAGTTACTCTAGTAGTGAGCTCCGCCGGAGTAGATCCACACCACAGGAGTTTTGGAGACGATCCGAGTGACAGGGTAAACTGGGTCTCGCCTAAGTCTCCCGCTCTGAGAAAGGCGCAATGTAGGCTACTATATTTGAGCCAATCAGAAGTCTGCTTTGCCGAAAAGGATAAAGCACAAGACCAGAGCGTAGTGGGAGGATGCGTAAACCTTGGAAAGAAGAAGATGGGATATTCACGCTTATTTTTTGAGGCCGTATTTCAGATGGCCCGGTAGGTGCTTTGGCCATTGAGAAATACGGGTTCTCGGGAAAAGGGTGTTCGGCCCCAGCCACTTGTTATGAAGAAAAGAAACGAGAAACCACTCGTATTCGTTCATTTACATTGTGGACTGACAGTATGCAACTCTCAGTGATTCCTCGGTACTCCGTACAATTGTCAAAGACTATGGATCGTGGCTGAAGAATACGTGGAGGCGTGTTCGAGAAGTTGTACCATTGGACCCGGAGTCGCTTGTTCATACAGCTGGGTCATTCCAGTCAAATCCCAAGCCAACCTGACACGTTCTAGAAGTCCACCCAAGCGGAAAGTTTGATTGTCAAGCTTGTGCCAATTTGGAAGGCTGCATGTGATATCAAGAGGCCCAGTTAGTCCATAGAAACGCCGCTCAATTTCTTCATTTCCCTCTTTTGTATAGTATCTTGACTTAATTGATCTGGCCCAAAGTAGTTGACCCTTGATGTGAATTCGAGCGTTGTGACCTCGTGTCGGGGATAAGTCAAATGTTATATTTTGACCAGTCCGAGCCTCGCTGCCTGCGATGTCACAGAGATTTGAAGAGGCAATGAACATTCGATACACACTTCTTCAGACTTCCGAATTTTCAGGAGCCTGAGGCTTCGGAGTCGGAGTGTATAACTCTGCCAGGTTGTATCTTTTCAGTTTGTCGTAATCACTCCCGGCAACACTTATCCCGACTACGTTCTGGTCGAGTTGATTGTGATTAGTGGAATGAAGCACAGGATTATCTATCGGACCAGCCTGCATATCAGGCAACTCACCTGGATAAGATGGACAAGGATGATCAAATCGTAATTCTTGAGATCAACAGGATGTTCGGGGCCTACGACATCTGCAATCGTTTTGATCACACTGTCCCTGTTGAATTTATTGTTGCCCCTTATTGTAGGCCGAATAGCATACTGTATAGAATTGACTGATATCAGCACCGCCATTTCAGACAACGCAAGTAATCCAACACAAGGGAATAAAGACGCACCTTCTTCGGAGGTCCTCCGGAGTGAAAGTGAGGCTTCAGAATCTCTTTTGCGAACGCTTCTAGATCGACACTGAGGGTTTTCCGAATTGATCTTACAGGGGTCATCCGCTGGACCCATCGACACCTCTTCTTCTCGGGATTTGCGTGAGCATCAAGACAAACTTCGTGAACTAATTTCTCAGGATCTATCGACTTGTCAAATCGTATGAATGTCACTGTCAAAAATCAGCAATGTCACGCTATGATGGGACTCAAGTGGTGCAATGACGAACCGCAAGGCATCTCCATTCTAATGGCTTGGAACTGGCGTTGTTTGGCTGACCCGGGCTTCAAGCCTTCAATTTCTTTCCTGATTTGCGCCTCAATGTCGCCTTCATCCTCATCTGATCCTGAATCTTCGTCTCTGGTGTTGCTGGCTGCTGACTCAACGCTCTGATAGATACCGTGTATCAGATTGGGAAGAGTCATATAGTGCAGGGCAAGCCTTGGCATGATACTGACCTGAGAGAAGAGATCCAGAGCTTCTGCGATGCACTTGCCTTCCCTGCCCATATCACAAGTTACGAAGACCCCCCAATCGCCGCTCTCAATTATCGCCTTGTTGCTTTGCTGCTTCTGCCATTTGCCGCCTCCCTGTGGCTGCGTTAGTGATACAAGATGTAAGAAATATTGACATTGACGGAAATCTTCAGAATAACAAATACGAAAATCTCTCGTAGAAAGCGTCGTAAGGAAGCGAACCTTTCTTCTCTTGCTGGATTGATTGGCTGTGTTATCAGGCATAGCTCGCTTTTTCGCTCCAGCCATTCACACTGATGCCGGATTGGTGGTGGAAAGTAGAGAAAGGATAGACTGCTGATGAGTGCAAAGCCGTGTCGATGAATTTCCTTTCCTGGTAATATATCCAGTCGAAATCAAAAAGCCAGCACCTTTCAAGATCTTATTGCACTGCGAGTAGTTACTACCTAGTCTGCAATCCGACCCAGTCATTGGTGAACTGAAAACACCAGAGCTTTAGAGGGGTTCTATCTCAAAAAGTCCAGAAATCCATAATTGGCTTAGCGGATGGTGGCACTAGTGGGATGATCACCTTATCAACTTATCATGCTTGGCCGGGATATTCATCGGGCTGGAACAAGACGATGAATGGGGCCTTAAAGAACAACCAAGCTTTTACGGAGTACCAAGATGGAATTCCAACATTTTTAACCAGGAAGAATGATTTTGGCATAACTGTAAACCAGCGAGATATCAGCTCCTTATATTGTGGTACCTAGAATGAAGGTCGCAAATGCATTGTTTAAAACACCTAGATGGTGGCATGGTCCCATCTCAGCTAAATCCAGCAGAACGGCATGACATCACGCTATGCTCATGACGACACCTCAACACCCTGGAAGATGGCACAACATCCGGTGTTCTTACGAAGTATTTTATATCTTCGACCTTGCCCCTGCGTCGGACATTTCTGGTTCACTTTTGCAGCTCTCCATACAACATATCCTCATTGTTCAATCGACACTTCATAATGGCCACTGACATTGCTACAAGGGAGCTTCGCAAGCCTATTGACGTCGCCGAATATCTATTCCGGCGTCTCCATGAGGTTGGAATTCGCTCAGTGCATGGTGTTCCTGGTGAGCAATCCTCTCTAATTGGGAGCCCCCATACAAAAACCTGGCGTTGACCATACCACTTCAGGTGACTATAACCTTGCGGCCTTAGACTATCTGCCAAAATGTGGACTTCACTGGGTAGGAAACTGCAACGAGCTCAATGCAGGTACGTAGTGAGGTGTAATTGATTGAAACCAGCTGGTTCGAGCAAGATGGTGCAGTGTCTAATATCTTGACTTATAACAGGTTACGCCGCTGATGGGTATGCCCGAGTGAACGGAATCAGTGCATTGATCACGACTTTTGGCGTTGGTGAGCTGTCAGCAATCAATGCCATTGCTGGTGCATACTCCGAATTCGTACCCATTGTCCATATCGTCGGTCAGCCACACACCAGGTCTCAGAGAGACGGAATGCTGCTTCACCACACGCTCGGCAATGGGGACTACAATGTCTTTGCAAGAATGAACGCCGGTATCTCTACGACTGTCGGACGCTTAAATGATACCCACGAAGTAGCGACACTCATTGACAATGCTATCCGAGAATGCTGGATCCGAAGCCGACCGGTCTATATCACTCTGCCAACCGATATGGTCAATAAGAAGATTGAGGGAGAACGACTGAATACCCCGATTGACCTTTCTTTGCCATCTAATGACCCTGAGAAGGAAGACTATGTGGTGGATGTTGTTCTCAAGTATCTCCACGCAGCTCAAAGACCGGTTATTCTGGTCGATGCTTGCGCCATCCGTCACAAAGTGCTACGGGAAGTTCATGACCTTATGGAGGCATCCGGCCTGCCAACGTTCGTGGCGCCGATGGGCAAAGGAGCAGTCAATGAGACGCACAAGAACTATGGCGGTGTTTACGCTGGAGACGGATCCAACACTGGTGTTCGAGAACAGGTGGAGTCTTCTGATCTGATTCTTAGCATTGGCGCGATCAAGTCGGACTTCAACACGGCTGGTTTCACCTACCGCATTGGCCAATTGAATACCATTGATTTCCACAGTACGTACGTGCGAGTGCGATACTCCGAGTATCCAGACATCAACATGAAAGGTGTCTTGAGAAAGGTCATTCAGAAG